TTGCAACACGTGTGGCTGTGTTCCGCGACTTCAGCAGATGCGGATACTAGGAAGAAGCCGAGAGACGGTCGCTCGAGAGCTATTGGAAGCTTTCTTTATCAAAAAAAGTGGGACGGCATGTGTCAGCGACACTTCTATTGTTCTTCATTGTAATGAATATCAGTTTTTGAATGATCGGGTGAAAAATTAATCAACTTTTACGTGGTGCTGCTTTGCCTGTCGTGTGTATATATGTGTTCTATTTTCCAGAATAAAACTAGTTGAAAGTTAGCGCCTGTCCTGTTTACTTCTTGTCCTTGTTCCTGTTGCGCTATTTTATATGTTTTACCAAAAGTATTTGCAAGAAACCAAGATACTTCAAAAAATTATTTAAATACTGTAACTTGAGTAGAGTATTTGAGATAGGCACAGGTATGAACAAATATTACGCGGGTACACCTCACTGCTGCTCGCTGTCGCTCGGATTGGGTTTGGTGTGCCCTGTTCAAGGGTGTGCCGAAGCAAGGGCTGCCAGGTTCAATGGCGCGCCGCGACTTCGTAACGACAAAGTTTTTTTTTTTTTTTTTAGTTTGAAGGTAGGTACTTTTGTTTCCAAGCGTTATCCTTGAGGCCTTGCAGGATCATGTTTGAATGGCCACCACCAGGAAAGCTACACCCCTATTCTACCCCTCACTTGGTTACGATTAGTCTCGTTCGAGCATTATCTCAAGAAGTAAAATGTTAGATATTTACCAATTGTATTTATATGCCATCACACTGTCAGGACTCGGGTTCCACCTGGCGCCCCCGGTGCGTGGCGCGCAGAGCGTCAGGTGGTTGCAGTGCGAAGACGGGCAAAGGTCGTTTCCATCGGACTTGGTTTAGATACATGGTTACAACATTTGTAGCGCGCAGCATCGTTCTCCTGAGAGCGCGTCTCGAATTTCTGTGATTTCCAGCTCTCGCGTCCTTTTTCTCCCCTCATGAGCGAGGGAGAAAGGGAGAGCAGGAAAGCTTCCCTCTCGGCAAGGCGATGTCCCCAGCAGGGTCGCTCTTGTGGAAAGGGCGGGCTCTCCTTCTCAGCATCTTGCCAAGGTCCTTGGTCGCCGGGCAGGTAATCCCCTGGGCACCGCGCTGTTGAACGAGCCGGACTCGGGGAACGACCGGAAACGTAGAAGGCGCGGGCTCCCCTTTTCGGCGGCTGCTGTCTCCAACAAGCGTTTCCGGAATAGTTCGGGCGCGGTTTTGCCTCTTCGGGGAGAACGGATTAGCACCGAAGGTCAGCTTGACTGACTGGCGATGTGCAAAAGCCCGTGGGAATGGGCGACGGGGTGCTATCTCGTTTAACAGAAATCCGGATTCCTTGGCTGAGTTGAAATAGCGGGAAAAGGGTATTTCCAGTCGCCGACGTAACAACGCCACAAAGTATTGGGGAGGAGGACAGACCGTGACGCCCCAAGCGGTTAACCTAACAACTACACGGATGGGGACAACAAATACAATGACGCAGCGTTCGGCCGACATAACCGAACGCGGCGTCAGCGTTCGGCTGGAGTTCGTGTTCTCCGGCGAGGGGGAGGAGGGGCTCTTTTGTTTCGACTAGGGCCTGCATGAACAATGCAGCATGCAGGGTCCCAGCTCGGCACAAAAGCCGAAGTGGGTCAAGCTCGCATTCTCTGAGGATAGATCCGGCACTTAACGTCGCTTCGTCGACTGTTAGTATTTCTTACACTAAACTGTGCCCCGCGCTCTATTGTAGAAGATGACATGGTCATGCCCATAAGGCCTGTCGGCATGTGCACAGGCCTTGTGTTGAGTAAACACCGAGCGTGGGGAAAACAAACGGGTCGGAGCGCCCCCTATAGTTCGATCTCCTGCCCACGGCAAGATGGAAAGTATTCTTTCTGTATGGCGTATAAAAATACTAAATTCCAATCTCAATCGTCAAAAAAAAAAGAAAAAAAGGGGGTTTAAAAGGGTTTGAATGTTTATGCTTCCCGAAGTTGGCATACCTGAAAATATGACAAGGTGTGTCCATGCTGCAGGAAGCCTATGCTTCATAACAACACAATTGCTATCGCGGATTTTATGACGTGCATCGTGCATCACTTTAGAAAATGAATTGATCCCGATATAAGGCTCATTCATTCCTAAACCTGCAAAATTGGCCAAGTGGGTTCCCATTTAGCGGGAAATGTTCGGTAAATTCCCCGTTAAATTAAGCGAAAATCCCCCCCCCCCCCCCCCCCCCCTGAATTTAGCGGGGAAATATTCCCGCGAAAATTAGCCGGAAATTTACCAACAATTTCCTGCTATATTTAGCGGGAAATTTTTTTTGCAAAATTTGCCCGCTAAATTTAGCGGGAAAATTTCCCCGCTATCTTTAGGGGAAAAGCTTAGCGAAAACTTTCTCGCTAAATTTAGCGGGGTAACTGAATTGCGTCGAGGTTGCGGGACGTCACTTTTCCCGCTAAATTTAACGGGCAAATTTTTGTTAAATTTAATGGGGGAATTTTTCCGCTAAATTTAGCGGGGAAAGTTTTCCGATAGATTTGGCGGAAAAAGTAAATCACGTTACGTGTGACGTCACGAGGGTAAAGTTTTCCCGCTAAATTTGATGGGGAAATTTTTCGCTAAATTTAGCGAAAACATTTCTCGCCAAATTTAACGAAACATTTTCTAGCCAAATTTAACAGGAACATTTTACCCTCGTGACGTCACACGTGACGTCACGAGGAACACGTGACGTCACGTCAAACCTCACGTCTGGCGTCATCATAGGAAACGTCTCATAATGTAGCGCGCGGTTACGCCGACAGCGACGTTGACGCCGACGCCGCCCAACCCGGAAACTTTCGCCTAAGAGGTGTGCTCTAAAACAGACAGACACATTTTTAGCTGATCTGTACGGTAAACTCCCACCAGCTCGCGTGTGCGCTGACTATACTTTTGTTTTCCAAATTATATAAAAAAAGATGAAAGACGTTTACAAATCTCTGTAATTCTAAATTGGAGCGCAGCTCGAAGTATTTTGATTTTGCGATATACCGTGCTAAACAGTTTGATGAAAATATATACAGGGTTTTTCAAGAAAGGTGGACCAATTCGATGTTGCGAAAACTAGCATCGATCCAAATAAAGGCTTGTGTCGTTTTGGTCCTAGGCCAGGGCCCTATTTAGTGCACTTATTAAAGTTCGGGATAATTAAGTTGTTAATTATTTTCGCGTAATTAATTTTTTAAATATTGAGTTTAAGAGCATGGTATATATATATGTGCAAATATAGATCACTCTCCTCACATACGGGTGCTGCACCGTCCTCCTCTTCCGTGTCCTCTTCCCCCTTCGTACCCTCCTCCATCGTATCCTCCCCTCCTCCTCTTCCGCACCCTCGCCTCCTCCTCCTCCTCCATACCCTCCCCTCCTCCCACAGATTTTCTGTTAAATTTTGCTGGAAAATTGAAGCCACGGGACCTCAGCAACAAGTCAGTGTCTCGGATAAATTTAGCAGGGAAAATGCCGTCACAGGACTTCGTGCCACGTCACCTATGAACAAATTCAGTTTCTCTGCTTGATTTAGTGGGAAAACTGACGTCGCGTGACCTTGACACCTATTCAGTTTCCCCACTTAATTTCGCGGGGAAAATAACGTCACATGATTTCCTGGCACGTCACCTATGAACAAATTCAGTTTCTCCGCTCAATTTAGCGCGAAAATTGACGTCACGGCACCTCAACACCACTTTAATTCACCGCTAAATGTAGCGGGGAAACTGAATCGGCGTTGAGGTCATGTGACGTCCGTTTTACCGTTAAATTTAGCGGGCAAACTGAATGCGCAGTGTAACATCATGGGACGTCGGAGACGTACGCACCAATTCAGTTTTTTCGCTAAATTTAGTGGGGAGTCGGTTTGGCGTATAGGTCTGTGACGTCCCGCAATGCAACGAGCGCGGTTACGCCGACGCCGAAGCTGCGAAACACGGGAAGGAGCGCCTAAAGGCCCGTTCACACTCTTGCGACCGAGTACGACTGAGAGAGACGAGATCTCTTTCAACTTCCTAATTGTTTCTAGAATGAGGGAACACACTGACATTGTGGCGCCATCTATGCGGTGACCCTAGAACTGCATTTCACAAAAGCGAAGGTTTTGCGGGATTTCCGAGGTCAAATGTGCGTAATACCCATAGAAAGGCTCGTTTATAACATTGACAAAAGTTTTTCGAGCCAAAAAAGAAAAGATATTGCGCGAGAAATAAAAAAAAAATACGCCGGACCGCCGAGTTTAGACTGCTTCCCAATAGATGGCGCCAGTGTGTTCTCTGGTTTAAGAAGTTTTAAGGAACCCAGGTTTAAGAGGTCGCAAGCCGTCGCAAGAGTGTGAACGGGCCTTTAGAGCTGCGTTCTAAAAACCAAAACGCCTCTGCAAGCCGCGTTATAAACTAAACGTTAATATCCCTTCCGGACATGTTGTATCTTCTATTTTTGTGCCGCGACCTATCAGGCACTAGATGTTTAATTATTAGGGTGACACAAGCCTCTAACGGTTTTATGAAGTCTACATTTATACTTATTTCTTGTAAACACTTGCGAACAAACCACAACGCACATTTGAAAAAAAAAAAGAAAAAAAAAAAAGCACGCTCCGTCAAAGCGTAGAACGAGCAGAGAAATAAAGCACGGCTCGTTATTGCAGGCTGGCTTCTGCCGGCTCGTGACTGTATACTTTGTCAAAAAGGCGTATATTACAAGTAAAATTATGTTTTATGTTCTGTGGTGTATGTTCTAACTGGCTATATAAAGACAGTGCCTCCCCAGGTCTAATGTGAGACGTGATGGTAAGTGGTGAATAATTTCCTCTAGGCTTGAAGTGTCGGAAATGATTCCCACGTGGGAGACTAAACATCTAATTACACTGTTTTTCTCGTTGTGGAATGCAGTGTTTTGCTTATGTTTCTCGTGGCCTCATCCGGGTTTGGAGCCTGTTTGTATTGTTGAAGGGAATCCAGCAGCGCATCACAATGGAAGCGGCGACTGTGGCTGGCGTTAATGGTGAGATCGTGGTAACGCTGGATGACATTGAACGTCTCGGGAACTCCAATATGACCGCGAACGCCAGAAGTCATTGCAACACCGGTGCGGACCAGGAACAGACGCTCAAGGAGAACAAGATGGCTTACCTCAGGTGCACTTTGGGTACAATTCAAATATTAAGGGGCCAATGGCAGACTTCGATACTCTCTGTTCCGTCTTCAACACAATGGGCTCTTGATGATCTTTTGGTGATGATAAGTGATCTTGGTCTCGAAAGGTTGTATACTAGGATGATGGCACAAATTGACAATGCCCGTTCTGTCTTCAAAACGATGGGCTGTCAAGGGCGACATGATAATGATGACGATGAGGTGGCTATCAAGAGGTGGCTATCAAGAGGAACAGACATTAGACAATGTCTGTTCCGTATTCAACATAACTGGATCTCGATGATGGCTACAAAATGACTATGATAATGATCTGTGTATCAAGAGGTAGTCTAACCAGATTGATGGTGCAAATTGAAAATGTCTTTTCCTCTTCAACACAACGGGCTCTTGATGATGATCGTGATCTGTCAAGAGGTAGTCTCACCAGGTTGATGGTACAAGTTGACAATAGAGAGTTTTAGTATTGCGTATAAGAGCAAACGCAAGCCCCCTACGTTAGCGTTAACGCTGCGTCCTCCACACTGCACATGAGCCATACGTACGCACTGCAGCGAGCTATGCGTACGTACGCTGGCTATCGATTTTTGCGAGCGTGCGTAGCGGTCCCCTGACATTAGACAGTTTTAGTATAGCGTTGCTGGCTCTTACGTACGCAATACTCAATGGTATAGCGTACGCTAAAAATGACCTGCTCGGACCGAATTTAGTTGTGCGTTACGTTTTCGAGTGAACACCGCGCATGATCTTGGTTAGATTTGCTAGATCTGCAGAATTCTGCGTGCTTATAGCGCAACCATGCTCCTGGAAAGAAATATTGAAAATGAAAACGTGTCCAATGATTTTATTTCAAATTAAACCGAGCCGCAGCTGCCTCGTCAAGCCCGCTTTTCTGCGGGGTACAGAGGCTACACTGTTAGCAAAAATAACACGCCCAGACGTGTAAACCGTTGTCCCATAGCGGACACGTTGAAACGTGTTCGTTTTACATTGAGCCATCTGTGTTTTTCGTCTACCCATGAGGTGCCGTGTAAACTTAACACGCTACACCGTGTTTGTCTTCCGAGAAGCACGGTTCAAAGTGTTCCTTATGAAACATGGCGGCCAGCAGCCGAGAACAGGCGAGAGACGAGCACAGCGATCCGCGCCTTCCAGCCGAACTGAAAGCACACAGGACGCGTTCGTTCTCGTTCGATGTCTTTTATGCACAGTAAACAGTCTCCAAGCGGCGGACGTAGCTACGTGCAAAGGTACGTACGTGCATCGTCGGCGGTCGGTGGCGTCGGCAGCTACGACAAAACCGCTAGACAAAAAAAAAAAAAAGCTAATACCAAACTTACATGGATAAATAACTCAAGCAAACTACTTGGAATCGGGCGTTAACTTGCGCCACCTAGTGAGATTTCTAGCAACCAATGAAAAGAAAGCAGGAGTTTGTTAATACGCTTGGAACTATCACGAGTAGACTGCAACTCTCCATACATCACAGACAACACGAGCACCACGTAGGACACAGCCTGCAGCGACACATACACAAACACAACACCGACACTACGCCCGACACTTCCTACTAACATCGTACTCTCCCCGCGGCGTATATATGCTTGACATGTGCGGGTGAGCTCTTTGGTCGCTGACCGTTACAGATTTATAGAAGAAGACACAAAACACGGCACAATGGACAGCCGTATGTAAGAACTGTTTGCATTTAAAAAGTATAGAGGCAAAATCTGTAAAATTAGTCCGTTGCGAAAAACAACGATGTACTAACAATAAATCTTAAACCGGCCATGAAAAAGTTCAAATTCTTGTTATTTTCATGCTCGACCAGTGTTATGAGCAGTCCGACTAGCTTGAATCAGATAGAAAAACAAATGATTGGGACTTTATCAGTACGTATTGAATAATCAATAGAAATTATACTTGCGCAAAGCATTTTTTATATATATTATTCTGAAGGACATCCGCCCAACACTTCACTTCCGCTAGTTGTAGTACGCGTACGGGAGCAGACGCGTTCACTTTTGGGGCGTTTTGATGCAGATTGTTGTCGTATGTCGTGTTAGTGTCGAGTGGAGCGGCGAGGCTTGGGAGTTTGTGACCGGTGTTATTCGTGATCACTAATGTGGCGCTGATGCGTTTTTTTTTTTTTTTAAATATTTCTTTACAGCGACATTGCAAATTCACGGGCCCGTGGCACTGCATTATGCTGAATCGCGAGCTCCTTCTCTGTTGACGTCGTTTTTCTGGTAGCACTCGTGGATACTGCAAGCGTTTAAACAGTGTGCACCGTCTCGCCTACATCCGAGGTGACGTACTCGACCTGTTGAAACTTATTGCTTCCGTCATTTTGGAGTACGCAAGGCAATTATCTCGCTGCTCTGGTTTTGGTTATAAAAGCAAGGCAAAACGCTCGTAGGTCCCGCCCTAAGTATACGTTGGACATCTTCTACACTTTGACACCGGATAACTGGATGAACGAGAATTTACATTTACTTCAGAGGTCACTCTCGCCGCTTCCTCACCGTCGAGCAGCAGGATCAGCCGGCGACAAGCCGCGGATGAGAGGCTTCAGCATCAACAGCCCAAGTGCACTTGGTGCCGATGCGGGCGATGCGGGTTTCTGTCAACCGGTAGCCCAGCACAGACCGTGACCGTTCCAGCTCTTCGTCATGACACGGTGTTGCAGAAAGCAGGGTATAATACCACTATGCGGACCACGGAAGCGAACGCACTGTTATCGTAAATTTTGGCTTGTGATAGCGCCTAAATTCTTATTCGTTTTTTCGGAGACGCAAACGACGGGCATAACAAAAGCGTTTGCATATTCCGCATACCTTGCAAACGCATCAGTCACCTCGCGAAAAGCGCAAAACACGGTGTCCGCACCGTCCTGACTTCCCAGTCTTTTACCTGCTTTAGAGCAGTTTGTACGTGTTAGTAGGTATGTCTACTGAAACTGCAACTTGAAACTTGGGGCAGTGCCAGAGGGAAAAGAGACAAATTCGGGCCTCTTCCCAAAGTAAAGAAAAAGCACTATGTTCACTACGTAAAAAATTGGTCTCAGTTCATGCATCTGTGGGCAGGTAGAAAACCTTGCCCTAATTTATTCACACCGGATGATCAGCGCAACAAACTCACACGAGATTTACAGGAAAACATCGGTGGTGACTTAAGTTTCCGTGAAATTCTGTATTACCGGTCGTTTGCGGGACCGAATCATCTACTCGAGCGGTGTGCGTCGCTGTGCAAACACGTCGCTGTGCAAATGCAGTCCAACGACACGAAGCATAAAACCGGCAGATTTAGGACGACTATCCGAGGTTCATTGTTCAATTAAAACGACGTAATTTTGTTGAAAACGCCCGCAGCATTTTACTCACGGTATGCGTCGGGAATCTTCCACATTTTGAAACGGAACGAAGGAAGATTTACTTTTAAAAACGCTCGCTGCGTCCTCCTGGACCAGCTGGACCGGATCAGCTGACGACGACGGGGCTGAACCCGTCAAACGCAACCCCACAACAACCAATCTGAGCTCCGTGTTAGTGCGGGTTTCTACCTCCAAGCACCGCACCACACACCACGAACGTTTCGGCTCTTTCTCGCATCGCCGTGTTGCCCCAAACAGAACGAGATCGCCGAAGTCAACGCAGCGCTGTCGTGAACCTTGGCTTATGGTTGCGCGCTCGTGGACCATGTGACTCTCTTCGCTTTCAAAGCACACACGACGAATGGTACTTTCCGTCTTCCGGGAACAACACAGGGGCACTTCTACGGCCAAGTCTTCACTATGTCCTCGCAAACTGCGAAGCTTCTCGCGTCCCGTCAAACCAAAACAATAGCGGCGCCATGCGTAGATTTTCTCCGGTCAAACAAAAAGAACGAGAGCCAACCGGCTCTTGCTTCCACCGTACATCGGCGTTGCGCTTGCGCCGTGGCCAGATCGCTTGCAGTTGAAGCGGTTGAAGGGTGAAGCAAAAACGAAACCAACTGCAATTTCACGTGTTCACATCGAGCACACGCTTTTTATATCCATTTTAACTGTTTGGAATGAATAATTAGACCAATGACTTTATTTGTGGTGTGTAAGAAACTATTATCAAGACCCCTAAACTAAATGCAAACATGGGCGACATGAGGGAAGCCGCGTTGCCATCGACCAGAAAATGGCGGCGAGCACGGTAAGCGCGGGTTTCGCCAACGTCCTGCGGCATGGCGCAATTGCTTTTGGTGCATATCTGTCTCCGAGATATGTTTCTTTCCGCGGCATTTGTCTCGACGGTCCTTTCTAAGTTTGTCCCCAAGCATTCCGGTGCTTCGATAGCCGGCAATGCCGCGGTCGTCGTCGGGGTCGATGCGTGTTATCGAGGTCGGCTACACGGTTATGCGTGTATGACCGAACCAAAACACGTTTTTTACAACCTCGCGTGATTTCTGAACGAATTATCCGTTACTTATCGTGTAAATTTATGGTAATTTGTGTAAATAGCGTGTTTTTCACCCCAAATATTCACCAAATACACGGGACTTGCTAACAGTGTACGAGTAAAGGCCGGTTCGGACACTTGCGTTTAGCCTAGTTCACATGCAGCGGTTTTGGCCCTAAAGCCTAGTTCACATGCAGCGGTTTTGGCTCTAGAGCGGCGCGATTTCTGCCGTCGCGGCGCTCGTGCCGCAGAATTGCTGGTGCTGGCCAGAGCGCCGCGACGGCAGAAATCGCGCCGCTCTAGGGCCAAAACCGCTGCATGTGAACTAGGCTTTTGAGTGCGTTTGACTGCGTTGCGTCGAGAACCGAAAGCGAGTCACCGGCACATCTGTGCTTCGTGTGAAGCGTGCGATACAATTCAAAAAATCATCTTAGCACGCAATATAAGTAGCAGAGATGTCCTGGTTTCTCGCTGCTGCAACGCAGTCAAACGCAACTGTCTGAACAAGGCTTAAGAGTGCGTAGCCAAATTTGATCACGGAGCCCCCGTCAATC